TTTTGGTTTAAATTATTTGTTTGGTTAAAATGGTTTATGTGATACGGTGGGAAGAGAACTGACTGTTTTTGGAATGCTGGTTCACGTTTTGCATTTGTTTTTGCAAAATGTCGCGGTAAGCAAGAGTCGCCACCGTCTTTTATTTTATCCAACAAGGAAAGGAGAAAAGCACAGAAAAATTCCTTTTTCGAGATGTTTCTCGGGTCCGGGGGGTAGATTATAGAAAGGGAAGGTGTTAGCACCCTTTCTATCCGTGGTTATCCACGGGCTCTTAGGTACTTGCTCAAAGTGTTTTCAAAATTTGCTTTTCTTTGTGTTTGTGGGTTTGAAAGAAGTTTTTTGTTTGAAAGGTGTAAGTGCGAAAAGTTTTGTTTTATTTCGAAAGAGCAAGTACTTAAGAACCATCTACCTACTCGAAAAAGGAATTAATCTGTACAAATATCCTTTAGACAATTCTATCCCACTATTGATGAGTAGGTAGTACCATCGTTGGAGTTTAAGGGTCAATTCGATTAAGGGACGTGTGGTCACTAAAGCAATGTTAGGACGCCTTAGCGGTAACCCTAATGTCTTAGATCATTTTTCCGAGGCAACCGTTTCGAGGCAACTATGATCTTTGGATAAGAGGGCGACCTCTAAAACTTCCTATACTCAATGACCACGTTCAAAGGCAACCAAGTGAGGTGTACCCTAAGAGTGCGCATGTGCGAGTGTGTTATTTCAGTTAATTTATCTTTGTACATGTCATGGGTTATCTATGTTGATTTTAAGTTCATACATTCGATCTTATCATGCATTCCCTATTATCAAACATCTAACAGTTTATAGATTGCGGAGTTTAAATTGCGGAAATTAAATCTAAACTATTACAAGGCGTCGGGTATTTACATCGCCAAAAGACAACCCTTGAAATTAAAATGCGGAAAATAAAATAAAGCGATAAAATAAAGTCCTACTTAAAGCTATTACATTCCGGAAGCAAGTACAATAATAAGACAAAATTGATCACGTGCGAGAAAATTAAATCGGGCGCATTTTTTAGGGTTTTGACCCCTTTTGTAAGGAAGTGAATTTTTTGTCTATTTTTGAATTAAAAAGAAGTTAGATCTAAATTAATAATTGAATTAACAAACTAATTAATTAATTAAAATATTTTTGGGTTTTTTGATATTTAAGGAAATAAAATAAATTTGATTAAAGTTAGTAAAAACCTAATTTTCTATATTAATTTTAATTATTTGCAAAAGATATTAAAAATTATACCTAATTAACACTAAATTAATTAAATTAATTTATTTACAAAAATAAAGTGATGAATTTAATTTTAATAAATAAAATATATTTTTGTGTTTTTGATTTTATGAGGAAAATATTTTAATTGGTTAGTTTAAATAATCAAAATAATTAATACAAAACAGATAAATAAATAAAATGAAAAGAAAAAGAAATAACCAAAAAAGGGGTTTGGGCCCAGATCTGGGGGGTGAAATCAGCATGTTCAAGGCCCAAACGTGCTCAAGCCTGGCTGACTTTTCTGTTTCTCCACACGCATGTTGACTTGGGTGTATGGTGGACATCACCCTTGGGCCATCAGATTTGGCCTGGAGGCCATCTGGCGCCTTGAGATCTGAGGGCGTATCATGTACCATGCGCTTGGTCTTGCACTGGAATATCTGAAAGAAAAATACAAGAAATATGTTGGGGACCTGGGATTCGAACCCAGGTCCTGCTGGACTATGCACTAACGCCTTCACCACTGGACCACTGGACTTTGTTTGTTAATGGATTAGGTAACAAATATTATATTGAAAAACAACTATTATGCCTGAAATAAAAAAATAAGCGCGAAATATTTGAACCAACGAATGGGGAGGGGGCACGTAATCATCTTTTTCGTTGGCCCCTGGATATTTACCTGCGGATTTATATCCGCAGCTAAATCCCTAGGTCGATCCTAAAAAACGTTCTAGGCCATGGAAATTAATTCTAAGACCATAGCCATGTTCGTCTTCCTCTCCTGATTTCATCCATGTCCATGGTTTGCATCAATTTTGCCTGTAAATAAAAAACCCAATAACAAGCTTCCAAAACCCTAGGTTCGGGTATGGCATTACAGGCTATAAAAATACAATTGAATAATGTGGAAAGCTTAGAAATCATTCAAGAATCATGAATATGTCAATGTTTTGTCAAGAAAATGCCAGAATAAGAGATTGCGATTTCAAATACAGGGTCGCGTTTTGAAGGACTTACAACGCTTTTGAATGAGTATGCAAGCTTGTTAGGGGTTGGTTTCGCTTCAGTGGATGTCCAGCAAGAGGATAGCGTTGAGATTTTGCTCTGAATCGACCTCTAAGGGTGATTTCGATTCCACACTTTTTTGCCTTTTTCAAGTTTTTGTTCTTCTGATTGTGCAGCCTCTAGGTTCCAATTCGTGCCTCCTTAGCTTGTATATGTATAAGGCAATGCATTAGGTTAAAAATTTGGACTTGAATCTTTGTAAATCAATGCCTGGAGATATGATATGATCCTCCATTAAAAAGCTTCCAATTTCATTCCAAATCCAATATTTTGTGCATGATATGGCTTAATTCGGATTTGATTGTGTCCATGATGATATTTAAGACCTATATCAATAATAAAGATACCAAGTTATCAATATTTAGATTTTATTTGGATTTAAATTGATTTAAAATGAATTAATTCAATAAAAATCAAGTAAAATAGAAAAAACAATAAATGGACACAAGGCTGAGGATAGGACACGTTTGTGGTGTGACAAGATCAAATCAAGTGGAAAAAAGTGGGCCCATTTATCAAAATTTGAAGTTTTGAGGATAGTTGACTTTTGGCAATTTTGGAAAAATGCCCAACTTCAATAATGCATAACTTCTTCAATTTTGAACTTTTGGAAGTGTTCTTGGACTTTTTAGAAACATTGATATGTCCTCTAACCAACCCTTTTTGTCTCATCTCATTTTGATATTCCATGCTCAAGTTATAAGCTTTGGAAAAAAAGGTATTTTTGTTGACTTTCAAAAATGACCTATAATGTCCAAATTTGTAACTTTTTGTGAGTGCATTTCTTGATCTTGGGGTGTGAAGATGGATTTTAGGAAATTTCATCCTCTTCAAAATGAGCTTTGGATGGGTCATTTATTATAAAGTATGAGAAAGTTATGCTTGGTCAAAGTTGAGTTGACTTTTCCTACAAAACCCTAATTTAGCAACTTTTGAATCTTGATGAATCTTGAGCAATCCTTAATGAATCATGATCAACCCTTGATAAAATGATGAAATATCCTTCAAAATTATAATGTTGACAAAAAATCTTAAGGTTTGACTGTTCATGGGTCACAGTTGACTTTTGCCCTAGCACAGTCGATTTTTGGACCTCTTGAGCAATTGACTGACCAAACTTCCTGTGCAAGGCTTGAAATTTGACATGGATGAACTTGAGAACATATTAGGACATTGGGGAGCACTTGAGGTCATTTGGATGCAAGGACCTTGATGCAACACAAAACCCTAATTTGAGGTTGACTGCCTTAGGAGATGATTTGACTGTCCAACTCTTGAGCAATCTTGAGCAACTTGGAGATTATTCTTGCCATGTCTTGAGAAATATGGGAGGGAAAATTTTGGGGTACAACAGTTTGTTTGGTTAAAATGGGTGTGAATGAGATTTTGATGATACGACGACCTAGTGTCGAAGTTTTGACTTAAAAAGTGTGATTTTTAAAATTGAGTTTTTTAGGAGATTTAACTTAAGTTTAAAAAAAAACAAAAATGTATGAAGGATTTCGCACAATCGTATAAGATGTATTCGGTGACGTGAAGTCAACAAATTTAAATCTTTCCCTTAGAATTTAAACAAACAAACAATAAAGTAAGCTATAAAAATTAAAATGAACTAAAATGAAAATATCACAAAAAACTTACTAACATATAGAGGAAAATCATAAAGAAATAAATATAAACAAAAATACGAAATGATGGAGGAAAAATCAAGCATAAAAAGATATAACAAAATTTACCTCTAATGTTATTGGGACTCGGTCCAATCTTATCTCCATCTTTCCCAATAATTCTCAATTAATCAAAAATTAAATTATTCATTAAATCAAATTAAAAAAAAACAAATATCCTTGTTATCAATACAACGCTCAATCCTCTTTCCTTTCCTCCTACCATCGTTTCATCTATTTCTCATTACCAGTCTCTCTATGTTATTGTGAAACGAAATTCAAAACTCTCTCTCTCTCTCTCTCTCTTTCTCTCTCTCTCTCTCCTGAATCACCTTCATTTAATCATTCTTCATAATCTCTCTCTGGTTTCTCACTTTCTCGTCTTTCTCATTCTTATTCTCAGAACTCAACAACAAACCCTAACTCCAGCGAACCCACAGCGTCACCTCGAAACAACAAGTGTTCAACCCAACCCCCTTGATTTCTCTCGGCGAGTCCAAATCCAAAGGTGAATTTCTCAGATTCTCAAAGATACGGCAGGATCGAGCTTCAGAAATCTAAAACTATTGAACGGAGATGGAGGTTCCGACGACGAAAAAGATGACGACGGTACGCTCTTGCCACTCTCGTTTCTCCTTCTTGTTCTTTATTAATCTCCTTCATGAGTTGTTGCTGTGTTAGGAAGACGGTGTTTGCGTCTGCGGTAAGGCGTGTTTTGGGGTTGGAATGAAGGTCTATTGCGGAACTTTTTGTAGCGTGGAAGTTGGGTCTTGACCGCGAGCAAAAGGGTGCCTAGACGGAGGAATCACGAGGGCTGTTACGGAAATAGTGTGAAGGCATTGAGTTTGTCGAAGGTGATGAGATGGTTTGTGTCTTCGGTTGAAGGGAACCAACTTGTGTTTATGTATCCACGTCAAAGAAACTTTCCTTGCTCAAAACATCAACCTGTTCCTTCAACTACATCTTTGTTCCATCTTAGCATTTAGACATCAACTGTGAACATCCGAGAAACTAGAGCGGCGAGAAGGAAATATGGAGGCCAGCGCGAGGGGAGAAGAGCCCACTGGGAAGGAAGACAAGAGAGAGCGGTTGAGGCAGTGGTAAATTATATTTTATTCTTATTTTCTTTTTCTTTTAGGAATAAGTTAAATTAGAGGGAGCTTCTTTTTGCAGGGATGAATAGTTTGTTTATGGACAACAATAGTGTTTAGGGAGAATTGGTAATTTTTCTAGTTATTATTCATATTTTTTCTGGTTTATAAACATGAGTAACAAAAGCAGCTTGATTTTTTTAAACTTAGTTTAACTTTTCTACTTCTCTCGCAGGGTAAGACATAGCTATGATAGTGAACAAATGCAGAGAGGAATAACGAACAATATGCAACAACCATCAAGTTATATCAATGAACACATACATATATGTGAGTTTTCATGCCAAAGGATGGAAGAAACATTACCTATCGGAGACTCTCTGATGGAGCTTCAAAAGACAGTAAGTTCACACTCCTTATGCTTCTGCTCCTTTTTCTCTCTTTTCCTCAATGTTTCCGTTGTAAGTTACTCTTGGCTTCTGTTGAGAAAAAAAAACCCCTCCCCACTAGTTTTTTTGTGCTTTTATAGTGAGTGAAAATGAGAAAATTGGATGGGATTTGAACACAATTGTTAGACTATCTTCATAGATTTTTTGGGAGTTATGTGTTTTGGCTGATTTAGTGTAATATTTGGCTGTTTTTAGTGCAGGTTTTTACAGGATTGGGGGCAGCATAAATGCTATTTTTGGACTGGTGTATAGCTGATTCTGATTTGTCTTTTGTAGGGCTGATATGCAGAGTGGACAACAACATTTTGGAGTGCAGATTTTGGACAGTTTTGGTGCAGATTTTGCAGCAGGTTTTTTTTGTGGCAAGTTTGTGGGTAGAGTTGCAGCAGGGCAGCAACATGACCTTGCAGGTTTTGGGACAATTTGGTGTAAATGAGAGTTTGAGCAAATGACATGAAGACTTGTACCAAGATTGGAATAAGACTTAAGATTTCTTTTTGTAATTATTTAAATTCCTTTTGTAACTGTATGGATGAATTTGATTTGAATGATGTAATGAAATTGTAATTTAACAGACTTGATAAAAATTGCAATGAATCTTTTCTTCTTTTTTTTTTGAAAATTTCCTTTGGATGGCGCGTATGCATGAACTTTGAACTGAACTTGAGACTTAAATAGGTCATGAATGATGATGGTTGAATATTTGAATGAATTTGAAGTCTCTTAAATGATTCTTGAATACAACTCTCTTTTGATAAAAAATGTTGTTAACTTTGAGTCATGAGTGAAAATATTTATCTTTTGTGCTTGTATGAATCTTGAATAATATTGGAATGGAGTCTTGATCCATTCTTGAATAAACTTGAAATAACACGCCAAATTGGATCTTATATTCGGGTGAATGGATCATGACACATGTCTTGAAATCTAGAATCAATTATGATACATGTTTCAAATTTACTCCCATGAACGAGGTTTGAACTTAGAAATGGACAATTGAATCATGGCTAGCTTGAAAACCTTGAAAAATGATGAATGTTTTTGAAACCTCGAATTAAATTAAATTTAATGACATCTTGTGTGAGAATCTTCAATTCATGGTAATTTGCAATACAATCCAATAGCGCTTGAAAGAACAATAATTCCTTGAGAAATCCACTTTCATTCAATAATCACCAAATTCTCAGACACAAGTGATTCGAATTGCAAATAACAAAGCGATCAATGAATTTCCAAACTCCATATCTTATTTTCATGAATAATCTCCACCTAAGAATCAAGTATATTGAGAAAATAGTTATGACATGAGTTGAACCTAGGAGTTAAGAACATTCCAAGTCAAGAAATGACCCATAACGATTCAATAACTTTTATGATCTTTTATGCATAATTAACTCTCGGTCCTTGAAGAGAACTTGTAGAAGACATCACTCATGACAATGTTCAAAAAGAATCGCCTCAAAATGTCGAGAATCGAATAAATTATGATCCTTGGAAGTTGAGCACACCGGTTTTGAGATTAGGTCAAATTCCACAGAATGACCTCTAAAGTATTCGTACTTTTGATGATCCTCCGCACATAATCAGATCTTGACTTGTAAAGAGGAGTTGGAGATGACATCAAGGAGAGCTATACCAAAAAATAACCATTCAAAAATATTAAATAATGAAGAAGTTATGATCGTTTGAACTTGATCTTGCAAAAAGTTGGCTTTTGGTCGAAGTGCTTCGAATTGACTTGTAAATTTGATCTTTTCTTGTGCCCCAAGGCATGTTAATGCACATGTGAACCAGTGATGGTGAAATCTTGTATGTTCTTTAAGGAAGTTATGGGGAAGCTTGAGACCACTTGTCGAACAAGGCGTGGAAATAAACACACGACCCTCTGAAGTTCCATAAGACATATTTGATCAAAATGAGGTTGAACAATGCTTGAAACTCTATTCTCTAAGATTAGAGGTTGTGCCTTGATGAATCAGTCTTCTAGAATCCATAATCAATCGTACTTCTGGCTTGGGAGACTCAAAACCCTAATTAAGGTGCGACGCCTGATGCTCTTGATTCAGACCTGTCTCTACACACGAAACAAAATAAAACACGAACATACACCTTTGTATGCGATTAGAAGTTAGTGATACATAGGCTAAAAAATGCTTAAAACACTTGACAATCTTTGTGTAGGCAAAGCTCGAAGGTGAGAGGTTAAAACCGATCGTATTTCGTGACCTTGACTTTTGTATAAAATGCAAAAAATGCAAAAAATGGGATCTTAGGTAAAAAATTGGGGTATGACACATGTCATCAACGTAAACTTTTATCTCGTGATAGATCATATCATGGAACAAAGCTACCATAGCATGCTGATATGCCGCACCTACATTCTTCAAATCGAAAGGCATGAATTTGTAACAGAAAATGCCCCACTGTGTGACAAAAGTAGTCTTTTCCATGTCTTCAGGTGCCATCTTAATTTGATTATAACTAGAGAAACCATCCATGAAGGAAAATACTTTGTGTTGAGCGGTGTTTTCAACCAGGACATCAATATGTGAAAGCGCAAAGTGATCTTTAGGGCTTGTCCTATTCAAACCCCTATAGTCTATACACATATGCACCTTACCATCTTTCTTGGGTACTGGCACCACATTTGTAACCCATTGAGGATAGGATGTAACAACTAAGAACCCTACATTGAATTGCTTCATAACTTCAACCTTGATCTTTTCAGACATCTCAGGACGCATACGACGAACCTTCTGCTTTATAGGGAGACAACCTTCTTTCTTTGATAAATGGTGAACCAAATATTAGTGTCAAGGCATGACAAGTCTTCGTACGCCCAAGCAAAGATCTCAACATAATCATGCAACATCTGAATTAACCTCTTTTTGACGCTGTCTTCTAGGTTAACACCTATCTTGACTTCTTTCTTGTCTTCTCCAGTACCCAAGTTCACAACCTCGACTGGCTCTTCCTGTGGTCTTATATCTCATTCTTCTTGCATTAACAGCCTAACAAGTTCTCCAGGTATTTCACAACCTTCCTCACCTTCATCCTTGGATTGGTAGATCAGATTTTTGAAGTCATAATTGGCAATAACAGAACTGTTATCAATGGGATCCAGGGTGGATGTGGATCTGCAATTTGTTGTGTGGGTGTTTGTAAGAACACATAGCTATTTTGAAAACAATAAAGTAAAATAACGATAAAGAGCGCAAAATTTTAGTGCAAACGTCCAATGATTTATTAAATAAAAATATGCTTATGAATAATAACAACCCTAATAAATGGACCGTTGTGCCCCGGGTAAGGAACAAGGCTTAAAGTCATTGTTTAAATTACATAATAAAAACCTAAAAGCAAGAAAAAACAAAAAATAACATTTACTCCTGACTGAAGGAGATTGGTATAAAGTCTCCAGTTTTCCAATTGTTGAGCCCATTGTCGGTAGTAAGGAAGATCTAACTTTCTATGTCACAATCACTATCAGCGTCTTCCACAACATTAATATGATTCTTGTGAACTCCATTAATGTTGATGCAAAATGGCAGTCTCCTAGAATTGGCATGAGCACAACGAACAACCCTCTGAGCCTGAGAAGTGAAACCCAAGCTAAACTTGTCGGATTTTTAAGGAATATCGAGAAGCTGACCCTAAACAGTGCAACCACCTTCTTCAACCACGGCCCTAGCGTATTTCAGAGAAGCCACTTTCGATGGAGTCTTAGGAACAACAGAAGCAACTTTATCAATCGAGGCTGCCTGAGAAACAACTTCAAAGGTCTGGCAAGGAGTCTCGACGAACTCATCATCCACCTCGACATACTTGAAAGAATTCAAATGGCTCACCATATATTCTTCTTCACCATAAACTGTAACGATCTTTCCCCTCATGGGATACTTCAAATTCTAGTGTAAGGTAGAGGTAACAACACCTGCCCCATGGATTCAAAGGCGTCCCAGTAAACAAGAATAAGATGGACGAATTGTCCATCACATAGAAAGTATATTCGAAGACCTGAGAACCCACCTTGATTGGGAGATCCACCTATTCATGCACCATCCTCTTTGAACCATCAAAGGCTCTGACCACAATGTCAATGGGTTTCAGCACAACCCCTTCACAGTCAAGCCTGTCTAGAGCACCCTTCGGTAAAACATTCAACAAGGAACCCGTGTCAACCAACACATGAGCTAAGGTAGTGCCCCCGTATTCAATAGAGACATACAAGGCCTTGATATGGTTTCTTCCTTTAGGAGTCAAATCAGCATCATAGAAGCCTAACCCATTATCAGTCATCAGGCTAGTAACATAACTTTTGAATTGGTCAATGGAAATTTCTTGCGGTACCTGAGTAGATTTCAAAAACTTCACCAAATCCTGAGCATGGGCTTCAGAGCATAATAACAGGGATAACATGGATATCTTGGAGGGGGTCTGCCCCAGCTGTTCAACAATCTTATAGTCACTTTTCCAGATGATTTTCAGTACCTCCTCCATCTCCTTCCTGAAGGTACCTTCAGTGGTAACCTTGTTAGCTGCCCCATCCTGGGCAGACTTAGTGATCTGTTCTTTGCCCCGAGTCTCAGTAGTTGACTCAGTAGCAGTAAAACGAACTGGTGTAGCAACAATCTTCGGAGAGATTTCTGGAGAGAAAACCCTTCCACTTCTGGTAACCTTATTGGTCCCGACAATATTGTCAATGTTGGGATCGGTAACTTCAGTATCTTCACTTTTGACAACCAATGGTTCTTTCTTGACACCACAATAGTAAACATCAGCTCCATAATTACAAGGGATAGCCTTGTCAGAGGAATACAGAATTGGCCCTGTTACGATAATGATCAAAGGAGCAACTCTAGGTTCGGCCGCAATCTTTATAGGGCCTTTGGAAGTAATCCTTATAGGAGTTATGGAAATTACAGACACGTCTTCAAATTCCAAGTCTTGAAACAAATTCTCCATAGAAGGAATCTTCTCAACTAGAATTATATGATTATCCATTAAACACTGAATACCTTCTCTCAACAGTTTGTAACCATTGGAAAGGGTTGCACAGCAGTAGCATCTTTCAACGCAACTTGAAAATAAACTGACTTGCAATAGATTCTTCTTAATAATTATCAGGGGAGTAATCAAGTCACTTACAGCAGAAACATAAGAAACGTCTTCGATGGCATTAATGCCCTTGTCGTGCTTAGGCATAGGTGCAGTAATCACATTGGGGATTTAGGGAGGATCAAATTCAATCTCTTTGGAGTCAATCATATCTTGAATCTTATTTTTCAACTCCCAACAGTTATTTGTGTCATGTCCGAGACTATTGGAATGATAGGCACACTTTACATTAGGATTGTACAGGGGAGAGAAGGTGTTGGGATTCTGAGAAGAATCTCTCAATGTAACCAGCTCTGCTTTCAATAGATGTTGCAATGC